CTCTCTCGCTGTGTGTGCCGGATGCTGCGACGTCCCGCTGGCTTCCGCGTGCTTGAACTTCCCTCGGCGCCGACAGAACACACGCGAAGAGGAGGCAGAGCAGCTGTAAACAAACACGCACGCACGCACGCACGCAGCGGCCCCCGCGCTGCGCAGTCAGCCGCAGCAAAAGGGGGGGTTGGGAGAAGGACGCAAAAAAAAAAGGCGTGTCACTTTGGGGGTCGCACAGCGGCACGCGTGCGCCAAAGTGGCGCCCGCCACACACACAAAAAGCGAGAAGCACACGAGTAGGTGGGAAGAGCATGAAGAAAAAAAAACCGACAATACAAAAAAGAAAAACGAAACAACCTCGAAATCGCATATCTATACATATATATATAGATAGATCAAGAAGAAAGGACAGAAACAGAAAATGAGGGGAGGGACGCGCTAACGTGCAAGCATGCCGGCACATATGAGGAGGAAGTTAATCGACGCTCCTTAGAAACAAGCACACACACAGAAAAAAAAAAGAACATAAAAATAAAAGGCAAAAACCAGGAAAAAAACCGGATTAGCCGCAGCCTCACTCCTCATTTTGAACTAAAATGAAGAAAAGTGGAAAAGTGGCCGCAATGTATGTAGTTCCTCCACTTCTTTGCAACTACATGCATATTCATGCAGTGCCCAGTAGAGAGAGAGAGGGAAAGTGAGAAAGAGACTCTACTACGATTCCGCGTTGTTGCCTGCGAGCCGTAGGTTGCGGACAGAAAGACGGAGGTGCCGAAAGCGTCCCTCACCCGCCCCCCGTGCGCGAGGGTGGAAAGTGTTGGGGCGGGCGCTCAAGACCCGCGCCCGGCCACGCAGAACTAAGTACGGCTAAGCAGCGAAGCGAGCACTGGGGGGGTGCAGGCTTTCTTTTAGCGGACGCACTGCTGGGCCCCACCACTCCCCGCTTCGCAGGCTTTCACGGAAAAAGAATACATAAGTAGACAAACAAGTGTAGTAATACTAATGAATGGTAAATCATGCCCGTCCCACCAGTACATTGCAGCATATACATATGTATATACCTAGAAGGATGGAAAGCGAAATAGACGCGCGTTGCGCAACTTACGTGGGGATGTGAGTCCAGAGGGAAGGCACCGGTGCCCATTCCCGCAGGCCGCCTGCGCCACTGCTGCGTCAGAGACCGCCGAGAAGATCCTTGCGGGGGGTCAATGTCAGCGCTCTTTTTCTCTCGCTCTATCACGCCTTCCCCTCCGTGCTATAGCGCCCACTGGCACGAAGTAGGCCGCAGCCAATCGGCGGGAGACGTCATGTGTCGCACTGCCCTCCTCCCAGCCATCCTCGCGTGTGCAATCCTTAGCCGTCCTCGTCGTCGAGACCCCCCGTCGCCTGCAACCCACCGTCGCATCCGCCCTGCTCACTCAACCCGACGCAGCCCGAAATTGTTGGCTAACGGACGGTGCATCTTGGCGGGGTCCGGCGCGTACTTTGAGGGAATGCGGCGGTAAATTTCTGACAGCCGCGGCGAGGCGCCTTGGTTCACGTTCGAACGACAGCGCTGCTTAGCGCCGGCGCCCTCGGTGCAGGGCAAGCCTCCATCCTGCCGCGGGCTGGAGGCGGCGGAACGTTGATTTACCTCCGCCTCGTTGTGCGGGGCCCACGCAATCGGTGACGTCACCCACACAACCCGCGGCGTCGCCGAGGCGCGTCTGCGGCTGCACCGCGTGGCGTGTCTCGCACCCCCGCCCCCGGCATTGGCGTGGATGCGGGGAAAGCTGTCCTCCTCCGTCAGCACAAAGACGATGCTGCTGGAGGAGCGGTGGCCCGCCCCGACCAGGAAGGCCTTGGGGTAGAAGCCCTCGAGCAGCTCCTCATCATCGTCGGAGCTCGCCACGGCGGGTGCGTGGCCCCAGGGCTTCTCCTCCGGCACAGAGCGGGGGACGCCACTTCCGCCGACGGCGGCCGACGCTCGGGCCGGGCCCCGCGGTGGGTGCGGGTCCACGGGCGCAGAGGAGGAATAGTAGATCGCGCCATCGTCGCAGTCTCCTAGCCACGTGACGGCGCTGCGTACGGGGCGTTGCCGCGGCGACGGCGACGGGACTTGGGGAACGATGGCGCGTGGAGGCACGTTGGCTGCGGCCGCGTCATCCAGCCGGCCCTGCGGCGTCCCACACCTCCTGACGTGCACCGCATTTGCGTTGGAGTCCGTCTCGTTAGGGGCAACCGGCGGGAGGGACGAGGGCAGTGGCAGGGCAGGGTTGACGCCTGCCGCCTCTTGCAAGGCGGAGGCGCGAAGTTTGGTGGTTGCGCGAACGCTGGGAGAGGGCACTGCCTTGCGCTGCAGCGGGCCTGACGCCTTGGCAGCGGCCTTCTCGTCGTCCGGGAGAAGCACAGGGGTGCGGGTGGCCACGGACGCAAGCGCGCCAGCGGACACGGCGGGTACCGCGGGGGGCTCCAGGGAGTCGGACGGGCACGCACTGTCGCTGCTTGGCTCGGAGGTAGCCGCATGACTGCCCGACTGCTTCTTGTCCACTGCCTGCCGCTGCGTGGACGCCACAGGGGCAGAAGCCACACCTGCCACGGAGGACCGTGGAGCCTTCGGCGAAGCATGCTCCCGACGCGTATGGAGTAGCTCCTTGGCCTTCTCCGCTAAGTCGCTCAGTCGGCGTTGGCTTTTGAGGACTCCGAGCGCATCCTGCGGCCCCCCAAGCGTTGCTCGATCGTCGGCGGCAGAACGCAACAGCTCCGGCGCCCGCCCACCCGCGCTCTGCAAGGGCGCACACGCCTCTGCCTTGCTGCTCGTGCAACCTGGGCGAAGCGCCGCGACGGGAGCAGCGCCATACCGCACCACTTCGTCACGCGGCGCCGCACGCACCGAATCCCGCTGGGGGCCAGCATGTGTCGCGCCGGCGCCGGCGTCGCTGCGCATGGCATGTGGCGGCGGGGTGTGAAGCCGCGTCGCCGCAAAGGTGGTGTGCCGCAGGACCTCCTGCTGTTTCTCGGTCAGAAAGCCAAATTGCACCGGCTCAAGACTGACGTCTTCGTCCTGTGAACTACTGTTGGGGGACGCCGATCCGTCCACGCTGGCCGTGGAGGACGCAGAAGGCGGCGAAAACATGTCCGGCCCCAAGTTCGCCGAGCTGCTGCGCAACGGCGCGTAGAAGTCTACCAGCGGCGGCGGCATCACGTTTGGGCGCCTCGCTGGCCCACGCGCTCGCGGGCCACGCGCCGAAGAGCTGTCCGGCGAGAGAGGCGCCGCGGTTTCCGCGTGCAGCCTGGCGGGCATGCCGTGTGGCGACAGCCGCCGACGCAACACCGGCTCCCTGGCGCTCCCGCGAGGCCCGCCCTCTTCGCCAGCGCCCCGCCCCGGCGGTTGCGCCGAATCCGCCGCGCCCTTCCGCCGCCCACGCACCGCCTCCTTGCCCGAGCCCGCGGCAGACAGCGCCCCTGCGCGCCCGCCCCTCTCACCACTTGCGCCGCACGCCTCGCAGGCTGTCGAGGCGGCAGACGCCGAGCCGCCGACCTCGACCGCGCGCGTGGCGGCGGCCACGGCGTCCCTCAGCGCCGCCTGCTGCGAGGAGGCACGGCGCGGGGGCGACTTCCCACCCGTCGCGAACGCGTCACTCTCGCTGTGCGCACGCGCCAGCGTCAACTTGGAGCCCCGCTTTGGCTGCGGCGAGCCACCGAGCCCGAAGCACTGCAGTTGGCCCATCTTTGCCCGGCCCCGGCGCTGACGCCGCAGTGACGGCAGAAATTCCCGCGGCCAGCGACACCAAACTGCGGGGCGTTGGTGTCCCCCCACCGCCAACGAGAATGCTGCCTCTCCGCTTCGGCCCCTGCGTGCCTTCTGCGCTTTTTGATGCTGTTGCCTGCTGTTTGCCTTGCGGGGTGGGGTGAAACCGCACCGCTCCGCTGCCGCCCCCCGCAGCCGAGGCCCAATGCAGGCAGAAAAAAAAAAAACTTAGAAGAGAGAGAGGAGGAGTGGGGAAGGTGGGGTGCGGCACGAAGCAAAAGCCGTCGCGTGTGCCACACGTGCACGACGCTCCCGGTGTCCGCCGCGGTGGGAGAGACGCTGGAAAGGCAGTGAAAAGGGTTGCGGCGGAGGTGGCTCGCGATGCCCGCCCGGGTTGCCCGCCTCCCCTCCGCCTCCGCCTCCCCCACACACACACACGCGCAGAGAGAGAGGGAGAGAGAGGGGGAAGGAACGATGTACACAACGCAGAATAATGCAGAGGAACAGGAGAAAACAAGCGGAGATAAAAGTTTTTTTTTAAAGAATTTTGAAAATAAAAATAATGAAACAAAAAACCATCCTCTGCTATTTACAGAACACACGTGCATGTGCATGTGTGCAAACAAACTCCATGTTTTTTTGTCTTTGGCTTCTCTTGTTGCTCTGTCAACTCCGCCGCACTCTGAGCTGCTCCATCTCCTTCCGCGCACGCGCAAGTGCCTCGGGAATGGCCCGCAGGTCACATTCCTGCCGCCGCAGCGACTCTGCAAACGTCTTCTCGAGGCGTGCCAGCATCGCGGTCCGGGCGGCACGGAGCTCCTTGCTTCGCTGCCGCTCCTCCGCCTGACGCCGCTTCAGCATGTCCAGTTCCACGCGAAGCCGCTCAACCGTCTGCCGGCTCTCCAAGTCGCGCTGACGAAGTTGCCTCAACTCCTGCTGCAGCGAAGCGGCGCCAAGGCGGGACCGCCTCGGCAGGGAGGCACGTGCGGCGGCGTCACCCGCGGCCTCCGCGCGGTCCTCACGCTCCTCCAGCGTCAACTTCAGCCGGTACTCTGCGCTCTCGAGCCGCCCCCAAACACTCGCGAGCTCCTCCTGCAGCTGCCGCATCCGCTGCTTCATGGCGTGGTGGAGGTGCAGCGCCTGGTTGAGCCGCTCCTCCGACGCAGCGAGGGCGTCCCGCTGCAGTCGCAGCTCCCGTAGTGCCTCCTCCAGCCGCTCCTGCTGCCGCTGCGCCGCGGCAATGCCCCCAGCACCGCCCACATCGTCTCCCGTGGGAAGCGGGGAGGCTGCGCCTGCCGGGGCCCAGTCGCTGCCCTGCTCTGCAGCGGCGGCGGCGGCATCCAACGTACGAAGCGCACTGAGAGCGGCCTGCGTCTCCAGCTGCCGAATCCGCGCGTGCGCCAAGTGCAACTGCTCCTCTAGTGCGCCTATTGTCATGGCGACCGCGCCAGCATCGTCGCCTGCCTCACGCTGCGCCTGACTCTCACGCGGCACGTTGAGGCGATACAACGCGCACCGCTTCGTCTGCTCCAGCAACTGACTGTGCTCGGCACGCAGCGCCAAAAGCTCCTGCTTCGCCGCCGTCATCTCATCCCGCATGAGCTGAACCTCCGCCATGGAGGGGTTGCGGTGGTGCGCCTCCTTCAGCCTGTCCTCCAAGTCGTGCACGCGCTGCAGCAGGTCGGCGCGCTCTTGCAGGAGCGCAGCGCCGCCGCGTGGAGAAACGGCGTCCGGCGACGCCCTTGACCTGCTGCCCCCGCGGACCCCGACGGAGCGGGCGCTGTAGGCGGCGATGGGGCGCCCCAAACGCGGACTGCGCATACGCGGCGTCGTGCGCAGCTCTTCGAACCGCGCCCGCAGAGACGGGAGGGCGTCCCTGGCGGCAAAACTCGTCGTCATGTCGGGGCCGCTGCTGGCGCCCCCCACGCCGCAGGCCTCAAGCCGCAGCCTAGGCACGACGGACGGCACGGCGGCGGAGGCGGAGACGGAGGCGGAGAGGCAGCCCGGCGGGGGCGGCAGGGCGTCGCCCGCTTCGGCGTCCCGCGGCTCCTCCTGCCGCTGCTGCGGAGGTGGCGGCAGGGCGTCCGTCTCCGCCGTGGCGGCGGCGGCGACGGCGGCGGCGGCGGTTCTGCCGGCGGGCATCGACTCCGTCGGCGGGGCAGTCGTGCTGCTGCGCGCCTTTGGCGAGGAGCAGGACGTCGAGGCACTCGAACTGCGCCGCTCCGCCTCGTGCGCGACGTCCGTCAGCAGGGCGTCGATCGCCGCCAGCTCCTCCCGCGCCATCCGCACGTACTCCGCGTGCTCCTCCATCTCCCGCAGGAGCGCGGCCGTCTCGGCAGCCGCGGCGGCGCCCCGCGCCCCG